GTTTGGTACTTGGTATTAAGTTTTGGCACATAGGTATAGGAACTATACCTAAGTACATTTGGTCCCAAACCAACATCTGGACGTGAGTTCTTACTAAATGTCACAGGTACTGTATGTAATAATAGTTGGGATCAAAATATGCTGTACGATCACTCACGCATGCTCATGAATGACTGTGCTTTAAAAAGGGGTCGCTACATTTTCAATGTGCAGTAAAATATATCTGTTAAAAATCTATGTCCTGTTTTACCTTTAGAGCTTGCACTTTTTAACATAGAAATTAGAGGCCATGCTGTATGTCATCAATAGTGCAATTCTAGATAAAAACACTAAATGTATTGCTGAAAAGGCAACTTCTGTTTTTCTACATTATTCTCTAGTAAAAGTAAAACTTCTTTTTGAAACATATATTTTAGAAAACATGCAATATTTCATTGTGCAGTATGTAAGGAAAAAATGGTTATCAAATACATTAATTTCATAAAAATTTGTTGCCTTCTTTATTATTAAATCTGAAATACCTGTAGTCCTCAAATATTTTTTCAAGCGCTTATGTAATGTTTCAAAGTGACTGATACAAAATGGCAGTGGAGTGACACAGCTCAAAAATGTTGTGCAGAACCCAAAAGCAGTTCGTTAGTGGACCTGTTTCACTGAACAGTTTTAACAATTCAGTTTTTCACTAAATGTAGAATACACTTGAATGCAATGTTAGAATTTGTACAGAGATTGACAATTGGTTTCTAAATAATTGTTTTAGAAGCACGTGTTTTTGAAAAGTCTAAAAGATTTTTTTTTTTTAATTTTGATAGATTTCGTTAGTTAAATTTGTAAAGAGATATAGTCCGCCACTCCAAACTTTCATAAAATTTGAAATCGGCTTTGGCTGGTGAAGTCTGTTACCACAAATGGCATGCGATTCTTGTCTGCGATAGAAGGTCAATCAGCTAAATCAGAACTCTTGAAATAATGTATGCAGTAGTTTGCTTTGCTAGGCAACTTTATTTCTAAACTTTGCAGTAAAAAAATAGATCTAAGTGGAGGAAAAAATCCTATGGAAGTCAAAAATCCTAAATTGAGAACTAGCATTTGCAAATATAAATGTTTTCAGTGACTTTCTTTCCATAGAAATTCTGAAATAGCAAAATTAACTGAATTTCATTCCAATCAGAAGTAGTTTTTTCCTGATCAGGAATGACATTATAACAAGAAATTAAATAACAAATACTTCAACTGTTCTGTAAAATCCATCTGCTCTACTGATGTCGTCAGGCAGAAAATCCTCGGAACCTCTCATCCTACTTTAAAAACAGTAAAATAAATCCAGCTCTATTTATCTCCAAAGATAAACAGCAGAAAGCAGTTGCTGCAGTCCAAGAAACTGTAGCTTTTTTCAGAGCTTATACGTATTGCTTGCGTATGACAGCACAATAAATAGTATGCAATCCAGATGTACATTTTTAGCTTCCAGATCTCATAGTATGCTTTACGTAACATCAGAAGATGTTATATAAAAATTGTATTTTACCTTCACAATTCTTCAGTTTTTTCTTAAGTAATAATTACATTAAGATCCATCTTTGTATGCCAGATTAATTTACCAAATAATATAAGAAGTTATTTATCAAAATTTGTACATAAGCTATAATGAAAATGACAACTAAAAGGCATTGGATTCATTTTTATCAGCTCCACCTTGTAGGATACCAGTAATATTTTCAAAGAACAACAATCTGCTTTAAGAAATACTGTAAGACTATGTTTCAACGTTAATCATTTGAGGTAAGCTTAGTCTGCAACTTTGGATCTTAATGAATGGCACCAGAAACCTGTTTATAACTACTTTATGTTAATTTATTTGAAACTTTTGTAATTGTTTTAGTGTCTTTGCAGAATATCTTAAAATGATGCCAGCGTAGTTTTCAGTTGTTTTATGTAGTTAAGCTTATAATACAAAAAATCCGTTCAGTTTGCCCTTAATCAGGAAGTAATTAGTTCTCTTGTTTTTTCCTTATTAAAAGATTAAAAGTTTATCTCAGCAGGGTGGAAGATTAAAAAAAAAAAAAAAGGGGGGGGGGGGACAGTTAATGCTGCAGCCTTGCCAAGACTGGGAAATAGAGAACAGAAAGAACCTTGGAAAAACACTCTAATCCTTCTTTCTCTCAGTGCATAATATGCTTGAATTTGGAAACACTGTGCAGAAATTGTCAAAAAGATTGCACAAGGCTGTTTTACACAAGCAATGAAAGTGAAGCTCTAGATACTTTGTAATTTTATCATAGGAAGTGCCTTTCCTGCAGAAGGATGGGTTAGTCAATCTTAAAAATTATGCTTTTTAAAAAAATGTGTTGGTACAGATTAGGATATGCATATGCGTCTCAGGCGTGCAAGATTTGGATTCTTCTAGCTAGTGGTCTGACAAAGCCACAAATAACTGTTTTTAGAGGAAATAAGTAGCATTCTACCTCACTTCACCATTCTTTTTGCTAAAATATCTGAAAGTGCTTCATTTTTTTGAAATAACTTTAGAATGACTGTCATATTTCAGAACCTACCTTTGGAGACTCTTAATGTATGTTGGATCTTATTCGTCTGACACAGATATTCCCTGTGCAAAATGCTTCCAAAGAGTAGAACAAAGTCAGAATGCTGTGTCTCACTTATCCATCTGTGCCACCCTAAATATAAGGAGCATAGCACTTGCTCAGTGAGCTTCTCATTCTTTGTAAATCCTTAAGTCAAGAAGCTCTTTCTGGAGTAGTGCCTCAGTGTTATACAGAGGAGAACAGGACATGGAAACTCCCATCCTGGGTAAGCATGTATTTGCAGCACTATGTTGATCCAGAGAGCAAAATTAAAGACCTTTCTAGAGAAACTGAAACAGGAGAAAGAGCCTGCAATGATGATTGTGTTGATGCTATCACCAAGGATGGCACTGGAGCGATCAGTACCCTCAGATGTTAAACTTGGATGTTAAAACAGAAAGTACAAACCATGAGGGATAGGCTGAACAGGAGCTTGAAGTCCTTATACTGAATGAAATACATGGAAATATAGAGGACCTTTCTCTCCAAATTTATTGTGGGAAGAAGCAGAGTGCATCATAGCAAATTTTGCCAGACTTCTTACTAGGTGCTTTCTCTGATATTAACACCAACACCTGGATACAAACACATACAGTCAGCACAGAACCCAGCGTTCATAGTACTCATATCTGAATCTCTTCTTCACCTTTGTCGGGATATGCTACTTCTCCCCCCTCTCCCCCCCCCCCCCCCCCCCCCCCCCCCCCAATTTCCAGCAAGCATAAATTTAAATAAATCTATAAGTGACATTGTAAAGAAACTGGAATCTGAATCTAGCTTGTCAAACTTGTTACTGTTGGGTCACCAACTCTCTAGTCATTTGTAGGGGACCATCCCAATCTTTTTTTTCACTTGATACGATCTTTTATGCGTCTTTGAGATGTCATTTGCTAACTATGAGGAGTAGCAGCTGCCTTATCTGTACCTCAGAATATGGGAAGGAGAGTGACAGTGGAATGTGTAGTTACCACCATAAGTAATATTCTAAGCAAAAAGATCTGAGAGGTATTTTACATGGACCTATAATGACCTCAACTATGCAGAAAAAATATCGTTAACCAAGAAAGCACCACCAAAAGACAAGGATCCCAGAGGCTTAGTCACAGCGTGGAATATGGGATGATTTTCAGCGTTACTTCAACTCCACATATGCAAAAATCAAATAATATACTCTGTTTTGGCAGTTATTTTCAGTGCTTCTGGCAGAATCCTTTGTTGAGGTGCACAAATCATGCCTGGTGAACTAAAGTTATGATATAATAAGTAGCTTTAAAGTATGTCATAAAACGTGTGAAACAAAGCCTTTTTGACTGACTTTTCTCCTATTTGCTTTTTAGACTTATATCACCAGAACAGCCACCAAAAGCAAAGTTTCTAACCTTGGGTTCAAAGTTCCGCTACAGTGGACGTACACAAGCGCAGACGCGACAGGCTAGCAACCTCATAGACAGACCAGCTCCGTACTTTGAGCGCACTTCAAGCAAACGTGTTTCCAGAAGCCTTGATGGAGGTATGAAATTTGATGATTGACTTATTCATTGTAATGATTTCATTATATGATGTCAGTAGCATTCAAAAATTTTGACATCATGGATGACTGGAATGTTAATTAACAGAAGTTTGTGAATTTCAGTTTCTGACAGATGATGTGATAAGTAACTGCTTCTGTTACTTGTATGTTAATTTTAGGTGACCCGAACGTAAGTTAAGTCGCTGCCTAAATTGTATGGCGCTGCTATGAAAATGTGGAGGGTTATGTGTTGGGCATATAGCATCTGTGTTCACTGTTCCTAACTTTTATTGGATAGGCATGTGTCATATGCTGCTGATTAGAACTGTTAGGTCAGTGGCATTTTTGGAGCTCTAGGTTAGCCTTAGGGCTTCTCTATTACCAAAGAAGACTGGGTAGAGCAAGCAATCTCCTTATTTTTTCTAGTTTTGTATCATTTTGTTTAGTATATTGCTGTCCTACTTTACTTAAGTTACTTTTGTTTAGTTCACAAATTTTCTGTTGAAATTGTTTGCATAACTATAATTTGTGTATGGTTACTGGAGTCTGCTGTCGTTGACTAAGCAGGAACACAATCCAGTATCCTTTATGGCAAACAGATGTGCTCTCCAAAGGCAGGTATAGCAGCAGTTTGAGAGATGTAGAAACGTGTATAAATCTGTATAAAGATATATAAGGAAGAAAAGCTCTTCATAAAACATTAAGTGAAGTTTTCATTAGATTCAACCATACAAGATTTTACTAGAATAAAAGTGAACTCTGACAGTGGTGTGAATTTAGTTCTGATTAAGTTGCTAAATTTATCTCATCTTTCCCCCAAAATCTTTTACATTAAGGGTTTTATTCCTGCAAAACTTCATTCTTCTGTGCTGGGACAAATCGCAGGCTGTAACGTACATACATAGCCTAAATAGTCTTACCTTCTGGGGTCCTATGTAAAAATAAGAGGCAAAAGTACATTCACTGGTAGCTGGTGATGGGTCCTGGTGGCAACCAAAAAACTTGTCACTACATCACTGTTACTGTCTGCATCAGTTTATTTTAGTTCCTGTGCTTCTAATTTAGAAATAACTTGAAGAATTCTTCAACTCTTGGAGGTTGCCTCAGCAAGCCTTTTAGGGGATCCCTTGCGCATAATCTGCATGTGTGTGTTCATGCCTGAACTTTTACCCTTACGGGGCTCTCACAATCATGATTTTGAGCAAAAGTCAAACTTTGCTGTTGGTTAGTCTTGTTTCCCTTAATCATGCTTGTTTTCATCCCAAATGAGCTAAAGTGCTAAAAAGGATTGGTTCGTTTGTTTTGTTGGGGTTTTGGTTGGTGGTGGGTTTTTTGAAAGGAGGTGCTTGTTCTGTATATTGCAGGTACATGTATTGCATCTATATTGCACATTGTGTAATACATTAAATGCCAGTTGAATGTATAAAGTTCTGTATAACAGCAGTGCTGTGATGCCTTTGCTCCTATTTGTAATAGCTGATTTCAGAGGAACTGACAAAATGATACTACTCACTTTAGAAGTATGCATCTTAGTGCAGCCTAAAGTGATTTTCCCTAGTATTATAAACTGAGTAAGATGTTATATTTGTTGCAACTTTTTTGCTTTGAACTCCGCCAGACATCTTTTCTCAAAAATTTTGTGTTTAAGTTCTATATAGTGAACTCTGAAGACTTCTCCTGTTGCTGTATGCCTGCTAATCATCACTCTGTTTCACGAATGTACATTACATGTATCTAGTGAAGCCTGCATAGCCATTTTTTGCAGTTATATGCAAGTGCAAATTGTAGCTGTTCATTTTAAATGCATGAGGGGAGGAAACATGAAATTAGTATCTTAGGCAAGACCAACGAGAAGATGATTCTTACAGTAGCTTGCCCAGGAAAAAAAACACGCTCTCAACTCTTTTTGGAAACACTGCTTTGGTATTCTCAGCTATTTCCAGCAGCATTTCAGGCAGCTTGGTGGTGTTGCCATCTACAGGCTATAACAGTTTCAAACTGTGTTTGTTCAAAATCAGACTTAACTATTTTGTTCTTTCCTCAGGCAGTAGTCCAGATGTAGGTTCAGGTTCATACTGTGTGTGTACCCATGCGCTGCCGCTTGAAACTGAAGAAATCCTATAGAGGGCGTGCTTGCTCCCTGCCTCTCCTTTGAGGGCATACAAGGGAAAGTGTGCCCCGTGCCATTTCAGTTCCTCCTATCCACTGAGCTGAGTACTTCATCTACGCAAGGGTTACTCTCTTTCCACCTCTGGTTTTCAGAGGGACTTCCAAGTGCTGGAGAAGTGGGCTGACAGGAATTTCAAAATATTCAACAAAGGGAAGTACAAAGTCCTGCACCTGTGCAGGAATAACCTCTCACTGCAGTACAGACTGGCTGTGGCCGATCCACTGCAGAGCAGCTTTGCAGAGCAAGGACCTGGAGGTGCTGATGGACAAGTTGAACATGAATCAATAGTGTGCCCTTACAGCAAAGAAAGCCAACCCTGTACTGGGTTTTATTAGCAAGAATGTAACCAGCACATCAAGGGAAATGATTATTCCTGTCTATTCAGCACTATGAGGCCACATCTGGAGTACTGTATTCGGCTTTCGGCCGCTGAATAAGACAGACATTGACACGGAGTGAGTCCAGTGAAGGGCCACCAAACTGGTCAGATGGCTGGAGGGACATGACATGAGAGGCTGAGTGAACTGGGATTGTTCAGCCTTAGGAGGAGGAGGCTAAGGGGAGATGTTATTGCTGTCTATAGCTACATAATGGGAAGGTATAGACAAGATGGAGCCAAACTCTTCCAGAAGTGCCCTGACAAGTCAGTGAATGCAAGTTAGGACACAGGAAATTTCAGTTGGAAGTAAGAAAAATTTTATTTCAAAAGCTATTGAGGATGCTCTGAACTCAACTGGACATGTCTCTGAGCAACCTGGTTGCAGTGGGCCTGTTTTGAGCAGGGAGCTGAACTAGCTGACCTCTAGAGGTCCCTTCTAACCTAAATTATTCTGTGATTCATCAAAATTTACTCTTGCCTTTGCGGACCTTGAGAGAGTCATATACCCTTCAGATGCTCCATTTGCCATCCAAGGAAGGATCAGAAGCTTAAGTTCCAGAACTTATTGCTTAAGCCCTGAAACCCAACATCCAGGAGCCTACAGTTGTCATTAGCTGGCCTTGACCTCCCAGCACCATAAGTGAGAATGTGACACAGAGCTGGCTAGGACTATTTTTAAAAGAGGACATCCTTCAGAGATACTCGAAGAGACACCTGTCCTCAACTTTCTGCACTTTGGCTTTTTAAAGTTAAGACCTCTTGGGCCTATGGAGGTACTACAGAAGACTGCTAAATGAATGAAGTTTGTGTCAAAGTTGTACTTATTAACGCTTCTTAATGAAGTGCAGGAAAATCCATTAAATTCCTACTATTTTGACTGAGCCAGCCTTTGTTATTTAAAAAAAAAAATTGTCTTGCCATTAAATTTTGGTTCAACATAACAGAATTAGTGTTTCACTGTCTTGTGGTTTAATTACATTGAAGTTTATATATTCGGTGTTTCCATGTAATTTCCTCCTTCCATTATTTGGTAGCGTAGAGGGGAAAAAGTATTCCTTTCATTGAACTGTTATTTCTACAATGCTAATTTTGCTAAGGTTCTGCATCAAAAATACTGAGACAGTTATATGCCTAGGTATTTCCGTACTGAATTAAAAGTTCTCTCAAAAGAGTGAATTTCCACACAACTATTTCATGTGCGGTATCTTTCTCTTTTTTTGTTGTGGTGGTTTGCACTACCACAAGAATAATATCTTCAAATTGTCTTCCAAGAACAATCAGAAACTTGATTTTTAAATATCTACTTGACTTTGATATTGTGGTATGATGTGCACTTACTTGCATGGTACGTGCACATTATATAGCAAGAGCATCAAATAACAAGAAGCTGAAAAACGTTGTATCCTTCAGTAACTAGCCTGTGTTCCTTGTTGCATACGTCACCATAAAATCATTTTGTTAAGAAGTCTTGAAAGCAAAATTTTCCAACTTACCCCAATTGACTAAAAGTATTTTATTCTTTAATAGCTCCCATAGGTATCTCAGACCAAAGTCTGCTAAGAGACTTCCCTTCTGCCAGAGCGGGGCCTGCTGGAGATAAAATCATTGACATTGAAGGTGCTGGTCAGGCCAAGTTAAAAGAAGGCAGCAGAGAAGAAAATGGAAGCCCTGTCAAGACTCCACAGTTAGAATTGATTCAGGATGGAAAGGTATGGCTGACTTTCACTCCAAAGTTTTTTGTTAATGATATGTGTATGTGTGCAGTTTATTTAACGCCTTTCACTTCTGAAAGGTGTACAGAACACTGTATTCAATATTTAAGGATAACTTTCAAATGTTTTCTGTATGTTCAACCTAATGCATGGATATACAAGCAAAAGAGAATGAAAACTTGTGTGGCATTGAGTCTTTCTAGGGTTTTTTCTTTTGTTATTACTGATTGAATAGAATATCTCAGTAAGGTTACGTGAGTTCGTGCAAAAAATGTCCCAAAGGATAAGTAAGAATTTATGCAATTCTTTCTCAGTGTGCTCAGACTTTTTAAAAAAAAAAAAAAAAGTATATCCACAGTTGTGTACCTTCTACAAAGTTGGGTGCGTTATGACTGTTTTTAAGTAATTATGATAGCAATATTCTTAGTTCAGTAACTATTTTATCCTTTAAAAATTACCATATTGAAGTATAGATTTTTTTTTTTGAAAGTTAAGTAGTTTTGTAGTATGTTGCAGAAACAATGATTTATTTGTTTTTGGGGTTACTGAGGGAATAGGTCACTAATTTAAACTTGGATCTTGCATATTTTCATTTAAAAATTACCTTCCAAGGTGTCAGCTAAAACCTTGGAGTGTGGTTATAATCTGTGGCTTTTCTCTCTTAGATATCAATCTGTTTGGGTTTTTTTTTGCTGGCAGTTCTCCAAAACTTTTTCTTTCGTATTTAAAAAGTAATTTTGTTTTCAAACATTTTTTCACGTTACCCGTCCAATTCTTAGGGATGAAATTTGGTCTGCTGAGTTTCTCAGTGCAATTTATTTGCTCCCACTCCTTTCAAGTATAGGAAGGGAATAAATACCAGCAGCTGCATGTATTCTTTTTTTTTTTTTTTCCCTAGAAATTTCAAACTCTTAGATATCAATCTGTTTGGGTTTTTTTTTGCTGGCAGTTCTCCAAAACTTTTTCTTTCGTATTTAAAAAGTAATTTTGTTTTCAAACATTTTTTCACGTTACCCGTCCAATTCTTAGGGATGAAATTTGGTCTGCTGAGTTTCTCAGTGCAGTTTATTTGCTCCCACTCCTTTCAAGTATAGGAAGGGAATAAATACCAGCAGCTGCATGTATTCTTTTTTTTTTTTTTTCCTAGCAAGTTCGAATAACTTTGAGTTAGACCAGGAACACACACACACATACAAACGTACATTTTTTTTCTTGATGGGAGGCAAATAGTTAAACATATTATTATGCTTTGTTCTTTGGGCTTGGTAAAATAATAATAGTTCCTTGGTTCCAAAGCAGTGGTATCTTTCAATATTTCCACCAGGGGGGAGCAGTATTTTGGGAAATTGTTCCATGAAGCTGTTCAGTAAGGTTTTGTTACACACGCCAGCTCTATGAACAGCTTTTTCTTCTTCCTAAAGCAGATATTTCTTTTCTTTTTTTGGCTCTCTTTACGTCTTTGAGGAGATGGTTGTAAATCCAAGAATCAAAGTGCCAGCTTGTCTTTCGCGTACTGTACTGTCCCCTGACCTTTCTGCCAAAGCTTTGAATGTCTGTCTGCTCCCATCTGTTGTAAGTGACTATTGCAGTTCAAAAGTACAAAGTTCTTTGCCGCCTGAGAACAAAACATGCATAATGGGTTCAGTTTCATAATCCATGGAAGTAAACAAGTTGGCTGTTAGGTAAAACACAAGGTGGGGGGGGTCTGTTTTTATTTGATGTTTATGTTGCATTATTAGAGGTATCCTTGTTTCTAAGTAAAAGTTTTCACTAACTACTAATTTCTTTTTCTTCCCCTCTTCTTGTGCCTACAAACTCACATTTTATTGTGTTTTCATTTTCCACTGTTCACAGAATTTATTTCTTCAGCTCACTCACACGCATCCACCATCACTAGCCATTCGTTATATGTCATCCCATCTCACAAACCTGTCACCTATCCCTGAGATGGACATGCTTTCAGATATTTCAGAGGAAGATCCCTTTGGGGAGCCCATCCTTACCATCCCAGACATCTTGGAGTGCAGTTCCATGAAAGAAACACCAGATCATAATAAAAAAGAAATAGCTTCACCAGATAATATTTTTGAATCTATGAGACACCCAGCTAGTCAATGCCCTCCTATAATGGAGGGAAAGATCTGTAAAACAGACTGCAAAAACACTAAGTTTTGTGTCTCATTCAGCTTTATCAGATGCTTTCCTTTTAGTTTCCGTTCGCTGCTTGATGAGGATGGTTATATCAGTTTTCCTAGCCTTCCTGATGTTTGCATCTCTTTCCTTCCACCTGGCCTTCAGGACTATGTTCCTATTACCTCCCCTTCCTTCATCCCCTCTTTTCTCCTTATATTTGTGCTACTTTTCTCTGCTTTCCAGTCTGTTCCTTTATCGCTCACATTTTCCCTTCCTCTTGCTCTGTCCCTCTGCTATCTGGAGCCTAAGGCAACTTCATTTAATACCTTTCATGACAATGACCTGAAGGACAAAGCAGAGGAAGAGGAGGTGTGTAATTTTGTTGCTTAAATGTTGACACTTGCACATAGCTTTCAAAGCAGTTCTCCCAGAGGTTTCTCAGTTTTGCACACTTCCTAGTATATGTGTGTGTGTGTATGTATGTGTGTACACAGACACACACACACACACACACTTGTATCTTGGTAACTTTTCTCATTTGTCAAAAATAGCCTGTAATATTGTCAAGGGATTTTTACTCAACAGATACCTGAGTTCTTTTTGCCTGAAATCATACAGCGTGCATAATTTCATTTGATTACATAGATACTGAGCTCCAGGTAGAGCTACTTTACGGTTCAAAATGTTAAGGAGTGAAATAACAGATGTATTTATATGATTGCCTGGTAATAACTATTTCTGTTGTGCTACTTGCAGTAGTAGCTTATTCGTGGGTTAAAATGCATGTCTCTTCAGTACTTTGACTTTGAAATATATGTCTCAAAATTTTTGTTTAGATCTGAAAACTGATACGCTAAAAGCTGTTTGAATTCAGAAAATTGTGAATGCTTTAAAATGAACTTTTTAAATTCCAGATTTCAGATATTTCTGTTCCACAAGGGTCTGTGCAAAGTTAAGTCTGTCGAAAGCACTTTTTTTTAACTGCTTTCATTAATCTCTAGCAATAGTTAGGGTGGAGAATGATTTGGTTCATTAGACTGGATTGCAGGTTCCGTGTCAGACTTTAATCGCTGAAGTCTGGACATTCTTTGAAATGTACTATTAAAATTGCTCTACAGAAACCTCAGTTACACTCATATGTTGCTGTGATCATCTGGAATAGTTGAGAAAATGCCTCCTGTCCATGTGTCTGTTATGCATGTTATCATAACTACACTGTGTGTTAGAAAAGGTGGTTCAATCTCCAAAGGAAATGTGGAAAAAAAAAAAAAAGAACCAAAAAAGAGGGGGCCCAGTTCTATGTTATATTTAATGCAGTTTGTTAAACTGATTCAGTCAATACAATGTATATATTAAATACTTCCTAAATGTGACATGATGCCGTTAAAAGACACAAATCTAAGTCTAAAATAATGAAAAAACATGCCTTGAAAGATCTGTTTTTCTATGACTGGATTTAATCCATCACCTATAACATAAATTTGCATAAAATATAACAACCCAAATAAGCAAGAGATGAATGAAAGTTATATGTGCCACACCGCATTCTCACAGAAATCAAAAATATAACAATACATGTAATAAGCAAACCACTCTTCAAATTTATGAACTTGCGTAGCGTTGACTTCTAAATGCATCTTTTCAAAGATTGGCAATTGTTTGTACTTGCGGGAAGGTTGGAAGGTTGTTTCCTTTTTAAAGAATGCCTGTCCTTAAATGTGCTTTCAGGATCCTTGTAGGTAAGGTGAGAAGATCAGCTGTTATTTCTAACAGCACGTTGCAGTTTGAGGAGGAATATAAAAGGTGGGGAGGGGACACCAAAAAAATAAAGCCCCCCCCTCAGCGATATTCTGAAAGTAATCAAGACAGTTTGTAAATAGAATAGTTATTTATTTGACTTGAATCCTAGGCTGTTTTACCAAAATAAGCTCATACATTAAATTCCATTTTCCCATCAGCTTGTGACAGAGTTTAAGGCTTTTACCATAGAAATTATACATACCAGCTTTTTTCTTTAATCTTTCTTAAATTTTATCTGTCCATGGGGAAAGCGCTGAGAAGCACAGCAAGAAAGGGATATAGTCTGAAATTTCCATTTTTCATTCCACTTATGCCAAATATTACTTCAGCCATTCTACAGCAACGTAGGTGAAGGAAGACCAAAGTCACTTAATTTCAGCAACATCTGGGGCCGAAACAGTAAAGGTCTGTAAATATAGCACATAGTTTGCAGCACTTAAAATGAGCTGAAACCTCTGTTATTCTGCAAGCGTATGCTAATGGTTCCTTTTCTGAATGATTTGCCATGTGCTCACGTAGCTGGAATCTGAAGAGGAGGAAGGACAGCAAAAGGTGGATTTTTTTTTTTTAACAATTAAATCTGGCTGTAGCTGCCTGCCTTGTTAGCACCTTAAAGTTTCTTTTGTCTGATAGTGCCTTTTCACCTTACCATTTTATTTTATTTAACTGTCTAATTGTAAGGGTCATTTTTATTTACATTTTGTGTTCATTTTTATTTTTTGTCTATGTGGCTTAATTTCACAGAACAATTCCTTGAGAGTAGACGGGGAAAATATTTATGTCAGACATAGCAATTTAATGTTGGAGGTTTGTATATAACATAAGGAAAACTTTCCTTTCTCATGGGCTGCCAGGCTGCTCGGGATGGGAGGTCACTTGCAGGCTGTTATGGACACAGTGCATGAAGTGCATGGGGAAAGCTGGAAATGTTGCATGTTTATAGTTCTAGTTTTTGAGTTTTCCAAAAAGAAAATAAGAAGGCTGGGGGGAGGGGGAGAAGAAATTCCTTGCCTTGGATGTTGAACGTGTATTTTTGCTAGATGTTTTCAAGGTGGCAACTGGGAATAATAGCCCTGTTTAGATAAATCAAACACAGTGGTCCAATTCATCATCCTAAATGGCATTTTTATACATTGCTACTAAACGTATGCATCTTTTTTGAGCAGGGTTTTGAGTTTCCACCAGTTTAATCAACAATTATCAAATACATTACCTGAATAAATGGAGTTAAGAAGGCACAAGCACTGGCAGAAGTATTGAAAAACTAGTTCTGGCTCTGACATTCATTGATTTAGGAGCTTTGGGAAACTTTTGTTAGGATCAGATTTTTAAAGTGAATGCTTAGCTATGCTTATAATACCTTTATTTATTTCATTTTTGAAATGGAAGTAATTCTTATTTTCTAAAGATTGATTCTCACTGAAGACTGAGCAACAGTAAAAGAGCTTTGAACAGCATTCTGATGTGTGGTGCTATTACTTATTACTGAAGTAGAGATTTTTACTATAAGAATTTTCATATAGCCTGTTAATCTGGAGAATTTTATCATAGCTTGTCTTTAGTTACAATTAGTATCTTTTAACTTGTAGTTAATAACATAAGCTAGCAACTAAAGAAACTGTCGAAAATCCCATCCTGTCTTTAGCTTATTTTATTCATCCAAATGGGGCTATAAATAATTCCCTTTGTCACAAAAAACAGTCCTTTTTAATCATTGGTTTTGATTAGTCATAAGGAGATGTATGAATTACAGTAACCCAACTAACACATTTGTTGGCTTTTTGCAGCTTTTGATCACTATTCAAACTTTACTTGTGTATAACTTACTAAAGCACTGAAAATGTGTATTGCATAACGTTGCTTTGAACAAGTCCAAGAAACGTGCCTTGTCTCAAGCCAAGATAGGCTTTAAAATTATGTCATCAGAATTATTACTAGCTTCAGTTATGTAATGTATTTTCTTTGATATACTTTTCTAATTCACTCAACAGATAGGTACTTTAGGGGGACATATTTAACATTCCCTGTGTGTTAGCCCTACTTTAAAGTGAAGCACTGGTCCTGTAACAATATAAACCTACTGAGTTGCCAGAAGGGGGGTTCTTAACATTCAAAGTGAAGTGCATGTATAAGCATTTGCAGAATTAGGAAATAAATTTGCAGCACCAAGCTGTTATTCATGCTGAACAAACCATTCAAGATAAATTAGAAACTGAGGAGTTTTGTGTGTATTTTTTTTTTAATATTTAATACAGGTATTTGTGTTGTAAGCATTGAAGAACATAAAAATCCTATCCAAACTGTTAAAGTAAAATTTCAAAGTGTTCCTTTACTAAGTACATGAAATCTTTGTATAAAAGCTAGATACTTTGTCTAAATTACTATATCTAATTGCTCAAGTTTTGGGAAAAGAATGTAATAATTATGATTACATTGATATTTCATTTTAAACTTCAGTGAATGATGACTCTTCTAATTCCATACTAAAAATGGGTATGAGGCTTAAACTTGATTTTCACCACTGAATATGGAACAAGTATTCCTGTGTTTGAATGTGCATATGCAACAGAGGCTTTTCACAACACCTGATGTGGTGAAAGGAGAGAATGAAATCTGCTCTTTCCACAGAAGCCCAGCATTGCATTTAAAGGATAATGAATTTCCAAGAGAGTTAAGATGACAACTTTCTTGGTTAAGTAGGCAAAAATCTATGTTTCTGCATAGCTCCTGATCCCTATGCTTGCTCCTGTATCTGCTATAAAGTGGAAGAGTAGATTACAATTATTAAATCCAAGTTGCTGTGTCTTAGCCTCAACGGCTCACTGCGAAATATAACCTGAGATTCACGCTGTGATGTCCCCTTTGGTGCCTACTTGTGTAGGTGCAGTTTAGAGAAAATGTCTCTTTGGTGTTGACATACACAAAGACTATCCCTGCTTGACTGCTCTGTCTGCAGTCAGGTTCTTAAATGTGTTATTGATGGATATCAGTCTTTAAATCTGATTCTTCTAATAGTGTTAAGCCTACGTGATAGGCTTAATAAGTAGTCCCTCTGACCTTAAGCAGGGGTTAGTTGCTTGCATGTTTGGCCGTGACATAATGTCTACACAGAAATAAGTCTTTTTTTTCTGGAGCCTGTAATAGGAATGATACGTTTTTATAATGCTCCTTGCGTTAAATTGTTCTTGCTTACAACTGCCTTCAGTAATGCTAATCATTTGTGTAGTACCACAATGAGTTTGCTTCCATGTCTACAAATTTTCAATGAAAGCAAGCAATTACTGGAAATTATAATCCCTTCAAAGAGCTAGTAGTTTCCTGTTTGGATCAAAATAGCCCTCTGTTAAATAACCATTCACAGCATTATTTTTCCTTTGCATTAAAATGTGGAAGAAATAGTGTATGACTGGCCCTTTGTTATTAAAAAGAACAAAATCTTAGTTCCCTTGTAGCCTTAAACATTTTTATTTTAAGGCACTTCAAAGAAGACTGGCTCTTCACACACAAGGCACTTTCCTTGGTTTTATTCCTTTTTTTTTTTCTTTTTTACAGTTAAGTTTGCTTTTGTTGTCGTGTTTTGTCCTACTTTGTTTTACATTGCGGGTTGCCTAGGACCTGGATAAGACCCAGGACGACTTACTGAAACACCAGGCTAGCATTAGTGAGCTCAAGCGCAATTTCATGGAGTCCACACCTGAACCACGTCCAAATGAGTGGGAAAAGCGGCGTATCACACCTCTGTCCCTACAGACACACGGGGTATGTCACTGCCGACGCTTGTCTGCATGCGTTTCCGTACAACCCTGTAGGCAACATAGTAAATGTACTTCATCCTGTACATTAACACTTTCTTTTTAGCTAATGTAATATTTGTTTATACTAAGGGTACGTTAACTTTTTACCACTTACCATTGGACCTGACTTCAGTAACGTGTGGAATTTTTTTCTTCTGTGAGAAGAGCTGTGAGCTAGAATCATTTGAAAAAAAAAAATTGAAACAATGTCCATATTTTGCTCTGCTAAGTGAAGCTTAAAATCCACTTTGATTTACACAGATCTTAGGAAATTTAATTTCTCATAACAGTAATACTTTTCCTCCGTTTGCATCCTTAACTCTTCTTAGGCAGGCTGTACACAAACAGCTATTTGGTGCATGTTATTTCAGAAGGACTTCTACATGATTAAATAGCTGACAGTGATGACTTCTTTGAGAAGTACTTAGTGTAGTTCTTAAAATCTATTCATCTTGATCTCAAAAACTCCTTAAAAAGATTTTACTTGCTTTTTTTCCCCTATCTCCTATATGACTGAACCTTAAAAGAACAGTTTGGAAAACAGTTTTTCAAAAATATTATCCTAAATGTTTGTGGCCAGAAATCTACCCAAAGAAATTTCAGTTGCTGTTCTGAAACTTAGTTTTACAAGGAGTTATTTGCTAGTTCTTTGAGCAGAAAAGCAATCAGTCTTTAAGAGCAATCAATTTATCCTTTGTTATCCTTTTTTCCTTGTTACTTCACCCCCCTCAGCCCCCAAAACGTGTTGTTATCCTAATCTCATTATACTTGTTCAGCATTATCTTCAGGCACCAGAGAGGTGAACTTTCAGATTAAGCTTCCTTGATGCTATCAAATGATTTTTGTTATTAAGGCTTGTTATTTTGTTTTGTTATTTCAACAAGATACGTAAGCATTCTGAACTATAAGCATGTGTGTGCAGATACTGCAGTTACTTCTTTAATTACTATTTTTAAAAATATGATCACTGCCAGGTAATTATCCTTCAAATTTCTGAGTGAAGTAGTATATGTGTAAACACAAATGTTAGTCTTTCAGTTGTTCCGGAAGCATTGATTCATTTAATAGCAATTTTTTTTTCTGTTACAGTAAGCATTCATGTAAAAGTGTAACTTTTTTTTTATAATGTGGTTGTGTGTATTTTCTATGTTGATTTCTTTGTGTTGAAGTTGAGGCCCTGCCAGGTATTGCACTTTTATCTCTATTTTTCTCACCTAGTATATTGTGTTGCTTTCAGACCAGTTTGGCTTTATGTTTATATATAGTATGTGTCTGTCTCATTGCTTATCGATTTACACTGGTTTTACAAAATGAAAAACAAATAGAAAAAAGGAGACTACATTTTCCAAGTGAAAACGCTGCCTGCGAAGGAGAAGCAATGGACTGCAATGCCATGGACTGCTGGAGCAAAACCAGAGGAGAATGACAAGGTGGCTGCCCTGAGACCTACTGCCTTTTTGCTTTATCTGCTGGGGGCTATCTGGTGCACTTCTTTCTTTTCCTTTTTTTCCTGATGGAAATAACTTGCTTAAGCCAGTACTGAAATGAGAAGTTTGAGCTGTAAACCAAGATCTGGATATATAGAATGGCAGCAACGTTCTGCTTAAACACCAAGCCAGGTGTGAAGTTCTGAATGGCTACCACTTGAAAAGAAAACAAAACTCTCACTGGAAAATTACTGTATATATTGTATGTGACTAGGATGACAGCAAAATATATATTTCCATTCCAGATGGAAATAATTGTCTGCATTCTTTGCAGTTATTGGACACTTCACACACAATTTTTATTTGCATTGTAATTACATATTTATTATGTAGTCATTATCCAAATCAATAATGCTGTAGTAGAAACAGCTTTGTTTCAAATGCAGCCTGATTCTGAATACCTCCTTGCTTCTGTACCTCTTTTTTTCACCCATGGAAAGGGGGAAATTGTCTCCCTTCATAATCAGATTTGACTTTTTTTTGTAGTGCAAGCACAGTTTAAAAGTTAGTGGTGTTACTAGCAGTTTGATAATGATGGTGGGTAGCAATTTGATGTTGCTTTTTGACATCACTTTTGAACTGTTTTCCACCACCTAAAATTTGGAATGAAAATGGCTTGTAAAGCCATTAGTCCTATTTCAGTAGCATGTGCTGTTTTCCAAAGCTGGTGTTTATATATTTTCTTCCTGAATTATTTGTTGATGAATATACAGAATTTGGGGTTCAAGTCCTTACTTACCCCCAACTTAAACTTGCCTGGTATTTGTAGACTTTGCTCAGCCTCACTAGTATTGTTAGTCTTAGTCTTACTATTGTTAGATGTTGCTCAGTCTTACTCCTAGAATGCAGTGTTTTCATGCCTGTCTTTTAGGATAGTTGAACAATAGACATGAGTAAAGCTGCTGGATGCAAGGATACACTGCTAATTTTCTTTCTTTCCTTCCTTTTACTCTAGTGAAAATACATGCCAATAAGTCTTGTTTTCTGTGTATGAGGAACGTTACCTTGGCTAAATCTCATTTTTACCACCATACTTCTTAAAGGCACAGCATCTGTGACTTAATTATGACAAAACTGTGACACATTGGTATGTATGTCACAAATAAATACTTGAAATATGTTCTGGATATCCAGAATCAACAATATTATTTATTTTCTCCGCCAAACCTGCTGCTGCTTATAAACAGTATTTCATGTTCGTGTGTGCGCATATGTGCCTGAAGATTGTTTGCCAGGAAGTTAAAGAGATGAAAAGGATGATATATATATTATTGTAAATAAAGTAATTTGAAGACTGCCAATGCTATCTATGCATTTAGTAATGTGTATAAGATGCTGCATCATGAAACAGGGGGTGTATTATCAGGCAAATTGTTATTTGTGTTTTCCTTGTAAAAGATTTAAAAAAAAATTAGAGGACTTAAACTGATGGTGGTAGAATGCAAATAGATGGGGAGTATGTGCCTGTCTGTGATGAGAGATGCACAGTCTGACCACATACAGAAATAAAGACCTTTTTTCTTTTTTACTCTTTTGAGTTGTTAGAATAAATGTGGTGTCAGAGTACAGCAGAAGTAGTATCGTGAGCCTTTTTGCCTTTTGATGTAAACTATT